ACACACACATATATATATTGGATTTTTATTTGTTATATATATATATTGTGCGATCTTCCTCGGAGAAAAGCCTTGTACATAAAACATATTACAGAATTACTCCATTATAATATCGATTTTACATTTCCTTATATGCAATATAGTGTATATCAATATACAAATGTAACTAACTATGTATATATATGTATATATATACTGTTACATTAATAAAGTTTTATATATTCAAACTATGTTTACACAATTTATTTCTTCCTGCCTCGCAGAAATCTCAAAATAAATCTCAAGAACAGGTTATATACATACATAGAGTGTGAAAACTGTAGGAAATAATATAATGTAGTCTTTGCGCAGGAGAAAAGAAATAATACAAAATGAAAGTATGATATCAGGGAATATACTTGTATAGTATAATCTTGTGGATATTAAGTTTTATAAAGTTTTAAATATATATATCAAATTTTAAACGCATATTGTACGTATCAGGAATTGTGATAATAATTCCTAAGACATATGGAAAGACTGCTCAATAATCAATGATATATATGTGCAAACCTTTATATTGATATTATAAATGCATCATGTATATTATATACATATATATATATATATATATATATATATATATATATATATATATATATATATATATATATATATATATATATATATATATATATATATATATATATATATATATATATATATATATATATATATATATATATATATATATATATATATATATATATATATATATATATATATATATGTATATAATATACATGATGCATTTATAATATCAATATAAAGGTTTGCACATATATATCATTGATTATTGAGCAGTCTTTCCATATGTCTTAGGAATTATTATCACAATTCCTGATACGTACAATATGCGTTTAAAATTTGATATATATATTTAAAACTTTATAAAACTTAATATCCACAAGATTATACTATACAAGTATATTCCCTGATATCATACTTTCATTTTGTATTATTTCTTTTCTCCTGCGCAAAGACTACATTATATTATTTCCTACAGTTTTCACACTCTATGTATGTATATAACCTGTTCTTGAGATTTATTTTGAGATTTCTGCGAGGCAGGAAGAAATAAATTGTGTAAACTTTGTCTGTGATAAAATTAATCGTTTTACAACCGCTTAGTGTATGAATCGTAGCGTTTGGCAATCGATATCAAGAGAGACAGGATGTCTTCATTTAGTTACGTCATGCGCGTTATGCGCGGCTCAAATTATAAACTTGGCACGAGCCAGTTCAAAAATTTCATGCATACTTCAAAGCCCATGAAACAAGCTGCGTTTGCAGGGAAAGCTCGCAGCATAACTGGTACAATACCTTTGTAAAGTGCTATTGGTCCCTCGTTTTTCATCAGTTTGACAAATACTGCACGTATTCCGTTTTTATACGTACCTTCGGGGGCTGCAATATAATATGTGATATATAATGCTGCAAGTTTTATACGGAATCTTTATATAAATATCTAATTTTTATATCAATTGATTCTCTTGAAAACCCCTACTCTCAATTTAAAATTGAAAAAAAATATCCTTGTTATTATTACATTAAAGTATATATATACCAGTTTGTAAGCGGCTTTTCAAGATATCAGGTGGCATCCCCACCAACCAGTTTGCAATGCCTGCAAAACCACCAGCTATTATGGTGGCTGGTAAACTGAGTTTCCCTCCCTCAGGAGTAAAATATTCTTTTAGATATTCATACGTCATAAAATACGTTCCGCTGGCCGGGATATCTGAAACAAATATATGGAGGCAGAGTATAAATTAGTAATCGCTCGAGTATTCTTACTCCAGAGGATGAAGATGGCACGTAAATATTATGCACAATTAATAATAGCGAGTAGAGAGCGTGTGGGCTGACAGATAGAAAGCATCCTGTTTGATAGGAAGCATCGAGGCACATTGATAACACAGTTAACAAAATCCAGTTTCCTTCAGACCAGCGTGCTGTTACTGGTTTCTACATATTGTGCTTCGTTTCAAAATCAAAATTCGTAAAGTGAGACAACATGACATTCGTTCTCTTATTTCTCGTCGTCTTATCTTTGGTATATAAAAATTTTGATACTTTGATGTGCTTATGTTAGATATTATTGCTTTGCTACTAATCCAACTTTACTTTCTATATGTATAATTACTTCATATAAATATATTGCAGCATTTAATATAAAATATCAATATATCATATGAAACAAATATTTGTCTCAGAATATTATATGAAATTATCTTAAATATTATTAAATCTTAATAATATTAAATCTTGAATATTATATCTTAAATATTATAAGATAATATATAAGATAAATAAAAAATTACAAGATAATCAAAATAAATTTCGAAGATATATCCCATAGTAAAATATTAAATTGTTTAATCTCTAAATTATATTACACTTAGGATCAGGGTATAGGACAAATTATCGATATCGGTGGTGTATGGGAGATAAGATGCCCGCAAGGATGTACTTGCGAGATCCAAAAATTCTCTGATCTACCTCTACATCAATGGGCTGATACTAATAGAGATAAAGATCAGGTACAAACGAATCGAGTAGATACCAGTGTTCATAATCATCAGTTTTTATAATTTAATGCGCGTTTATGTTCAACAGAATGTATCTTCCGACGATGTCGATTTTAATATGAATGATGAGCATTCTATGACTCATGAATTATTAAAAATAGCAACGTGCGTGATTGTTGAAAACCCTGACGAACTTTTGGCTAAACTTCCTTCAGATATACAGGTCATATAGTATATAATATCGTATATGATTTTATATATTTATACATATATATCTTATATTAATTTCTTTTGACCTTCTAGGTTCTAACGTTACTTGAATCGGGCAATGGAGACACCGACATTCTTCTACAAGCTGCTACATTCCAGCGCTTCACTGAGTTGATATCGTTAGACGTTCAAGGGATAGATTATAGCGATCCTTCTATGAGGGAAGTAAATAATTACAGAAAAGAAGGTGGCATTCGTCTCTCATCCGATGCTATGTATCCTCTAGGACCTATCTTGTTGTATTTAAATTTGGAACGAGTTAAATTGTCAAACTTAAATCTGCCAAATAAAAACAAAGCGAATTTGGTGATCAAGCCGATGAGTTCTCAGGAATCCGAAGCGATTGACGACAATCGAGCGATCGTAAGCAATGTCAGTCAGCACAAAGGGCATAGACTCATTTTTCTAAGTCAACAGAATAGCGACGACAAGGAGATATTGCCATATGATCTATATAAGCAAGAATTGGAGGGCTATAGGGAAAATGTCGAACTGTTCGCTGCGCTTGGCGCGCTAACGCATTTAAGGGTGTACGATTGCGCCCTAAAAGACATATCCTGGCATATGTTCGACGGCCTCAATAGTCTTCTTTATCTCTCGTTGGAGAAAAATAGTTTAAAGTTCATACCGGAATTTTGTTTCTACGGTACGCCGAACTTGAGATCGCTATCACTCGCCAGCAATGAATTATTGACATTGAAGAGCGTAGACTTGGCAGGGTTGCTTATGCTGGAACATCTGGACTTGCGACAAAATAATTTGACATTTTTGTCGGAATTATCATTTCCGCCTTTCCCGACGCTAGAAAGTGCTGATTTTACAGAGAATCCTCTGGACTCCATTTTTCCAAGGTAATATTCTACGCAATTATATCTCGACGATTGGATCTAAAGAAAATAATGTATATTTATATCTGTTTCAGTACTTTCGAGATTATGAATACGACAATAAAACTATATCTCGGAGGAGTGACGTCAAAATTAAAACTGCAAAAAAATTCATTACTCGGTCTACGTAGAGCTGAGATATTACATTTATACAATTTGGAGATACCCATGTTAGAACGCTTTATACTACAAGGATTGCCGGCATTGACGCATCTCAAAATGAAAGGAAATGTGACGAGTATTGATTTCGATGCGTTTGTCGATCTCGCCAATCTGTTGGATCTGGATCTAAGTTATTGTCATATTCGGAAAATTTCCATGGATGCCTTCTACGGTTTAGAAAAAGTTAGAAGAATCGACCTATCGAAAAACGATCTTGAATCCATACCGCCTGGTTTATTCGTCGCTCAACAACAGAAGGAGTTAAGAGAAATTATACTTACAGGGAACAAATTAACTTCACTACCTTCGGACTTTTTTAAAAGTCTTAGATTGCCGAGTAAACAAATACAAATACAAAATATAAGATTGGACGAGAACCCTTGGGATTGTACATGCATCATGATCAATTGGAATCCTCATTTAGTAACTATCATTTTATCTGATTTGATTCCAATCGTTTATACTTGATAATTCATTATTAATAAAAACAAAATGCGAATTGCACAGGTAAACAGAAATAAGGAGACAGCTCCGCGATGTTCGACGCCGAAGCGATTGCAAAATTGGGGAGTTTTTCATGCATTGCGCAAAGGTGGTTTACAATGCAGAAACCCGAGAAAACGATACCTTCAAAAGTTTATAAAGACGAGAGGAGACTTCGAAGAGAATAACAATATCAGTTAGTCAATTTCCAACTTTTTTGCAAATTGTGTGTATATGTTGAAAAACGCAGAATTTAAAAATACATCATAAATTTTTGTAATATATCAATTTCTAAAAATATATTTAATCCTTCTTTTTGGAATAAATAATAGCGCGTATGTAATAAGTTTGCTTCTTACCAATATAAATTTCTACTCGTGATATATACAAATGTAAAATTTTTTTAAATATGAAAATATTTGATAAACAATAGTACAAATTTGTGCGTGCGAGAATTAATAATAAGAGATTGCAAATCATACCTCTTAACAGCGTAGCACAAGTGCCTTTGTAAATACTTCTAATGCCCCCTTCTCGATACAGTTGCTTCGCACAATCTAGCGGTCCGTTATACTTTGGTTTCGCATCTGCGTGTTGTATTTGCAACAGACATTTGATACGTTCGCCTGGGGTCATTATAACAGTCGTAAATATACCACTAAAAGCGCCGGCGTAAAACAATTGCAATGTCGTGAGTTTTTCATCCGGTAAAGTCTGTTGCAGCTTCTTCCCGACACTATATCCGAAGAAACTTATTGCAAATATCGGAGCAACACCAGATAATGGTGCACCCATACCTAAATATAAAAGAAATACAAATTTATTATTTTTTTTCTTGTAAAAGTGTACAAGTTTTTGTTAAACTCTACTAAAACATGTAAAAGTATATAAACTATTCTTGTATAATTATTAAAGATTCGGTTATACATTCGGTTATTATTTATACAATATATCTTGTGTTATATAATATGAAAGAATTTTATAAGAACATTGGCACTATATATTTATATAAAATGTAAAACTGTTCCACAGTTATTTCAAAGCGCTGTATAATTTTTACATAATATACAATACATAGAAAATATCTTTGATGTTTCAAAAAAACATTATAATGTAACAATTTTTGTATACTATACAGCGTAAAGATAAATACCCTTGTATAAACCACGTATTCCTTCTTTGGTAACTGTTTTCTTAGCACAATCCCATGTACCTGAGTAGAGAGGCAATTTGTTAGGTCCTGGTACTGGCATTGTCTGAAGACGTACCTGTAGTACAATAATTTCTGTTTTAAAATCTTTGCAGAATACATGTTGTCATGTATTTAAATAGACTATAAACAAAAGAAATGAAAAATAAAGATAAATTCAATTCTATTCAAGTGTGCGATGAAACTTGATTCTTCATCTAATATGCTAATATAAATATATGTAACCTCACCTTTATGGTGTCCAAAGGATGACCAGACACGACGGTACATATCCCGCCAAATCCACCGCTTAAGAAATATTTAATAGGACTAACACTGTCGGACATGATTGCTGTATTACAACTGATTTGGAATACCAAATACCGAACGAATAATAATTCTAAAACTCATTCAACAAGCCAGGGGTCAAAGTACACCAATCAAAAGTCAATTGGCCCTCGATTAATCTTTCGTATCGGGATCATAAATTCCATTGATCTTGCACGTGATATTTTTCACGGTTCATGATATTTTACACGATTTAATATATACATCCATATTTATATTGCGATGGCATTTTAACATCCTCGGAAACATTTCGCACGAGAATAATACTAGATTATATTGGATTACATCTATTCAAATCAGCAAACACGGCCTTTTAATACAAACATGGCGATGATCAGCTCTGCAAGTGTAGCGTCTCTAGTCGCACATTTTTAGTATCTATAGTACCAGTGACAGCTGGCGACACGTTGGCCGCTTTTATATATATGCAAATGTGAACATTACGGTTCTTGATTCTTGATACGATGAATAAGTTTGTTAACGTCTATAATTATTATTGACGTTCGACACGTCAACGAATGTATGCCGTCGAGCCGGTTTTACGTTATCCCGATTTGTTTCTTCCGACAAGAGGTATCGTGTATTTCATTTATTTATCTTTTGAAATTGTCGGCTGAAAACAGGACGAGTTCCGAATTACGCAGCGATTAAATTATATGAATCGCGTACTGTTGAAATAAAACACGCATCGTCGAAAGAATTTTCGTGAAATATATTTTATATTAAATTCTGTTGAAAATAAAAAAGATCTCTATTAATAATCGTGTGTTTAAGTTTTTAGATTTTAGATATATAACTTGCAAAAGATGAGGATTGTACAGTTTAGAAGAAATCGCTTGTTCCACATACTCATTGGCAGTACACTGGTGTTATTACTTTTATACATTCTCCTTAATTTATCTTCAGATAATCATATGAACGATATAAAAGAATGGGCACAGGGTCTTAAACAGAAACAGGTAAATTCTTTAATATATTCGCCTATTTTTAATAAATACATAATTTACTCAAAATAAATATGCATCAAAAATTATTATTGATTTTCAAATATTTTTTAAATATTTTTTTCTTATATTATGCAGGTACCAGTATTTGTAGAAGGTTTAGGAAATTATGAGCTACGCGATGTACCAGTTAGAACTGGTCCTGGGGAAAATGGTAAACCACATATTTTAAGAGATGATCAACTAAATGATGTTCAGCAATCAGAATCCGATTATGGCATGAACATGGTATGTTCTGATGAAATCTCGTTATCGAGAGCAATCCCAGATACTAGGCCAGCAGAGTAAGCCCTTTTTCTTATGTCTAATAATATTAAATCCTGCATTTATATTTTTATATCTTTTCTTATATGATGCAGATGTAAGCATTGGAATTATCCAGAGGAATTACCGCGCACCAGTGTCATTATAGTTTTCCATAACGAGGGTTGGTCCGTTCTACTGCGAACTATTCATAGTGTTATAGATCGCACTCCATCAAAATTTTTGGAGGAGATCCTTCTTGTTGATGATTTCTCTGATAAAGGTACGAGCTTAACATAAGATATAATAAAATCCGAGAAATCTGTGTTTGATAATTGATACAAGCAATAAAGCGATATAATCCTTTGCAGAAAATTTAAAGAGTGACTTAGATTCCTACATTGAGCAATGGGGAGGAAAAGTTAGATTACTTAGAAACTACGAGAGACAAGGTTTAATACGAACGCGATCTCGAGGAGCGCGTGAAGCCAAGGGTGAAGTAATAGTATTTTTAGATGCTCATTGTGAAGTCAATGTCAATTGGTTGCCGCCGCTATTAGCACCAATTTCTGAAAATAGGTAAAATCACAATCATAAGTAATAAATGATTTAGTATCATATAGTTTGAGAAAATTGATAGAAAGCATTTTTGAATAGCATTTGTATACCTTGAAAAAATGAAATATGATCAAATAAATATAGCTCATTAATGAAATTCTTCATACAAAGTTTTCTGTCAACAAATACGAGTTTTTTTTCTGAAAATATACTTTTCTTCTTTTTCAGGAATGTAATGACAGTTCCTGTGATAGATGGCATTGATCATAAAACCTTCGAGTATCGGCCTGTGTATCAGGAGGGCCACTTGTACAGAGGAATTTTCGAATGGGGAATGTTATACAAAGAGAACGAATTGCCCAGACGGGAAGCCAAAGCGCGTGCACACGACAGTATGCCATACAGGTACAATTTTTATTTCAAAAGCTTCATATATAATTTCATTATTGTAGTACAATGTTTTTCATCCAGTTTTATTTCGTTTATGCGACTTACAGATCACCTACACACGCTGGTGGCTTATTCGCGATAAATCGACAATACTTTTTATCACTGGGTGGATACGATGAGGGATTGCTCGTCTGGGGAGGAGAAAACTTCGAATTGTCATTCAAGTTATGGCAATGCGGCGGGAGTATTTTATGGGTGCCATGTTCACATGTCGGACATGTTTACCGAGGATTTATGCCTTATACGTTTGGTAAACTTGCTCAAAAGAAGAAAGGACCATTGATAACTATCGTGAGTAGTCTATATTATCATCACATCAGACACATGTACTATTTCTTTCTGAGGTAGAAATCATTGCAAAATGTATTCTTTTACAGAATTATAAAAGAGTTATAGAAACATGGTTCGATGAGAAACACAAAGAATTCTTTTACACCAGGGAACCATTGGCTCGATTGCTCGATCACGGGGATATATCCGAGCAGTTGGCCTTCAAAGAACGAAAAAAATGTAAGAGCTTCCAGTGGTATATGGATAATGTGGCGTATGATGTGTTGGATAAATTTCCAGAATTGCCACCAAATATTCATTGGGGAGAGGTGCGTTGTTGACCGAACGCGTATTTAAGTTTTATCAACAAATCAAATACATAAGCTTCTGTATTAAACAATGATAATATCTTCTTAGTTGCGAAATGTGGCAACTGGATCGTGTTTGGATACTATGGGTCATGCACCACCAAGTCTTATGGCTACTTCCCACTGTCATGGCTTTGGAAACAATCAGGTAATTTACGAAAATATCTTATTTTTTCTTACTTAGATATATAAGTTAGACAACTTTTTATTTTATATTTATGATATTTTTAAATTTCCTATATATTTGTTGTTAGCTTATAAGGTTGAATGCAAAAGGTCAGTTGGGTATCGGTGAAAGATGCATTGAAGCAGATGGTCAAGGTATAAAGTACGCATTTTGTCGTCTAGGAACCGCAGACGGTCCATGGCAGTATGATGAAGTAAGTTTGTTATCTTTCAGCAACAGAAATTTTTCAAATCAATACATCTTTGCAAATTTTTATACCTTATATTTTATCAATATTATACTGTATATTAATTTGCATTTGTAGAAAACAAAGACTCTGTTACATAGAGTACATAAAAAGTGTATGGCACTTCATCCCCAAACTCAACAGTTATCTCTAATGCCATGCGATATAAACAATACTTACCAACAATGGAATTTTCATCAAATCCATCCAAGATGGTAATATGGAAGAGAGAAAAATATAAAATCTGTTTTGCTTATCAAAACTTGTACATTGTTCGATAAGTTGCGCACAGATTTTTGCAGAGAGAGTACACAATCTATTTTTAGTAATATATAATGCAGGATGGTTTGGCATATGTTTGCAACACTAATTCATTATATATATATTAACCAGTGATATACACAAATAAATAATTATAGTTTTCAATATTGACATACACATCGAACAAGAACAATATCTAAAAACAATTTAAACTTTTATATCTATATTATATTATCACAAGATGTGAAAGAGTCTACAAGTAAATATTTATATTATAAAGTGCAGAAAAGAGTAAATCTAACAAATTTATGAATTTTAACTTTGAAATATCTTTTTTTTTTTTTTAAGTTTAATCAAACCTGCGATCTAAATATTTAATTTATTTCTACGAATTTTATCTAGATTTTATCTATGTTATTCATGCAAAAATTTATCTATGTCATTTAATTATGTTATTTCTTCTTTCTTACTGAGTGATAAACAGCTCTAACACAAAAACTAGTATTTAATAACATTTATTCATATATATATATATATATATATGAAGAGATGTACATGAAAAAAATATTTCGACAGATGGTCTGCTCATTGTCACTGCCAATATTTGTTCCTATAACATTTTTTTCTATAAAATTGATTCATTAAAACTTCTAAAATGTTTAACATTTCAACAATTTCTTGAATTTAGGAAATATTGGTAATGTTACGATATTTTTTCTTTTTACATGCTATTCAAAAGATAAGGAATTTTACATTATTATATATGTACGTGTGATGTGTAGAGAAATGCATAATTATTTTAAAAATTATAAAATTAATTAATGAATATATCCATATATGAATTTTATGCGAGAATGTATATAAAAATTTATATATAAAAGAGATACATTTTCTAGAAGATTAAAATATTTATTAGATATACATAGTATCTCCATGTGACATTTTTATTTTTATACCAGTGGTCGAATATTTTTCATGGCAATGTAAAACATATTATATCTTTAATTCTGTTAATGCACAGGAAAAAATCACAATAATTATTAAAATAAAAGAATTATCATGAACATTATTGATATAAATAAATAGATTTTATATAACAAACATTTCATTTATGTAACTGTGTAATGGAATTGCATAAATTTTATTTATATATAATGTATTTTGATCAAAGTCAGCAGAATATTTTTTGTTGTTTTATATTGTTTAAAATTTTACAAATGTTTGTTTCAGATAATCAACTTTTTACATTTTTCCCAATTACACTAGGTTTGAAATTTTTATATTTTTTAAATCATATTTCGGCATATTTTGAAGAATGTGTTACTCTTATTTAAATAAAAGAATTATTTGAACAAAAAAAAAAAGAGAAAAAAACTGCCACTGCTATAAAAAAAAAGGAGTGATCAACACGGCATTGCGGATATCTCTCCACGATATATGCGATAGATATCAAATATGATTATTACATATAAATGTACTTAATTCACAATTATTAAAGTAAAATTTTTTATTTTTTTAAGCAATAGATGTGATTGTGCAGCTGATTTATAATTAAAAATAAATGCAGTAATCTCTAATATAGATAAATATGTATATATATATATACATATATACATACTTAATATTTAGCTATGTATCTGGCCCTAATGCCGCCTTGTATGAGATTATATTTCGATTAAATTGTTAAGAGAATCACATATGTATGTGTTATGTATATATCTTTCTTTCTCAAGTATACAAATATTAAGATTTACAAGATAAGTTTTGTAGGTATTAGGGTTTAACTACCTTTTCCTTTTAATAACAAGTCAGGAAAATTGAAGATTTTTTCTTGAGGCAAAAATTCTCACAAATACAACACAATGTAACATACTACTTACATCTATGCTTTGTTATATATACTAAAATAATAAATTACTGATATCTCGTAAACTTTTTATTATTTTCAGTATTAACGCGTTTAAAAAATATTACATCATATAAAGCTTTTGCAAAAAGCATATACGAATTTAATTGTTAAATAGGCTTTTGTAAAACCAATCAAACGAATGTGATGAACATGGAAAATCTAAATCTGTAACGAAAATCAAGTTGCATATATCGATAACGCGTAGATACAACAAAGTATACGATATATATTGTTATTGTTAATTGTACTTACTATGCTATGTAAATAAAGAATGAATTTTAAATCGCATTTCTTGATTTATTGATTCGTATTGACAATGTCATCGATTTTCAATATACTGCGTACGGTTTCGGAAGCGAGAGTTATCGAACTGGTAGAAACCAACAATGGTTGAATTACGTTCTCCTCCAATATATTGGTAATGGCACCCTTTCGAACGTTAATTCCCGCTGTTATTTCACCCTTCGCATGTCGATTACGAAGTTCAGTTACTGTTGCTATCGGATTCAAACCCGCATTCTCGGCTAACGTCGACGGAATCACCTAAAATTGACAAATTATTAAAAGTTTATCAAACATTGTATAATTATTTAGGACTATTGTCTACATCTTCCACAATATACTCGTACATAGTTTAATATTTATAGATATAGAACAATATTAAACCATAAATAAGATTTAATTCATCTACAAAAGAAATTATGGAATGCATTTAATACCAACCTCAAGTGCATTTGCATAGGCCTTGATACAGTATGCATCAACCCCGCCTAAGGTCACTGCGTACTCTCCCAACTTTATTGCCAATTCGATTTCCGGTGCACCGCCACCAGCGATCAGCGCTCTTTGTTTCATCAAACATCGGATAACGCACAGAGCAGACCAATTTGTTGCTACCGCGCACGAGAACCGTGACCGTTTTTCCGTGGTTTTGAATTCCTGTGACCTATGTATATGTATATTTAAAAAAATATATATATATTAAGTATAGAAATAATTTATATATAAGAGATGTAAAACACATTGTATTACAGAAATACGAAAAGAAATATGACATTAACTTTCATAATGTTGCTGTTTCTATCAAATAAACTCACCTTGACAAATTTCGAATTTCCGGTTTGCACTTCCTCACAAAGTTCCGCGTTAACAAGATTTTCAGCCACAAAGTGATCCAGCGACGCAATCGGCCGGCAACCTAGTGTTTTACAAACGAAGGGAATGTCCTCGCGCTCTATATCCTTTATCACCATAACTTTAATTTTGTCTAAGAAATGTATCGCGAGATCGCTAATGGCGTCGCGCAAGATTGACTTTTGCACGAGGAGTACATTGCAACCAGTTTTCTTGATCTGTTTGATGATATTCAATATGTAAGCACGTTCTTCCTTTAAGACACGATCCATCGCCGCATAGTCAGATACAACAACATTATGATCCATCTAGAAATTCAAGAGATTAATTTATCCATTCATGCAAAGATAAATAAATACGAATTCGCTCATATTGTTATATTCACGACACTCACATCAGTTTTTGGTGGTGAAATGCAGAATTGAATTAATCCAATTTTAGCTTTCTCGATACGTTTCGGACCATTAACATTACAAGACTTTTGAGTAAATATCAACCCTTCTATTAATTCAGTATCTTCGACAGTACCTCCTAACTTTTTTATTACTTTAATATCCTATAAAGATAACAAGAAAATGCTGATGAGTAAAATTCATGTTACATTAGCAACAGAATACATATACAAAGAATTTGTTCTCACATGCAAGTCAACCGACACTTCCTTTCCTTCTTCTGTAACTTTTAATACTGCATCTACAGCGAGTGGTGCAAGGAGGCTAGATTGTTGATGCACAACCTAAAATAATATAATGATAAAAATACTTTAAATTGTTGTCGGTGTGTGTATATATATATATATA